CGACCACACGATTATGTTTCTTAGTAATACCATTCGTATTATTACTCGTGTCAGTATCAGTAGTATTAGTATTATTCGTTTTAGTATCACTCTTCAAGCTGTTCTTACTATCGAAATAACTATTAGCGCCCCTATCGGTATCATGATTATGATGATTATTATTCGTCCTACCAGTATTTATATTATTATTAGTATTGGCATAATCCTTCTTACGTCTTGTTAGCAGTACTAGTCGTAAGTATACTTGCAATTTCTATTATGATTATTGTCATCACTGTTTAAAGTATTATTATTCCTCCTCCTCCTCATCCTCATCCTCTTCCTCCTCCTCCTCTTCCACCTCCTCCTCTTCTTCTTCTTCCCTCTCATCCTCCTCCTCCTCCTCCTCTTCTTGTTCCTCCTCCTCCTCCTCCTCCTCCGGCACCTCCTCCTCCTCTTCCTCCTCCTGTTCCTCGTCCTCCTCGTCCTCCTCCTCCTCCTCCTCCTCCTCCTCCTCTTCCTCCTCCTCCTCTCCTCTCCTCACTCTCCACAACCATTTCCCTTGTCTCACCTACTCCCATTCCTTCCGTCCTCATCCTCACCCTCTTCACGTCCTCTTGGAGCCCGCCTAGGGCCATCGCGGAAGCTTTGCGAAACGATTATGAGATGCTTTGATCCTCTGTGGCCCGTCCGTGCTGTCGTGGGGTTCTCTTGGGGCCATTTGCTGTTTCCCTGGGTTCCTTGGTGCCCTCTTGGGCCGTCTGAATCTGCTATGTGGGCCCAAATTGGGGCGTGTTGTGGCGTTCTTGTGGTGTCATTGGGCCCTCTTGGCCGTCTTGGACTACATTGCGCGTACATTGGCTCCTTTTCTGCAATGCCGTTATGGAACAACCTTGGAAGGTCTGTTTGGCGGTTTTGGGGGTTGCGCAACACGAAGAGGCGAACAAAGAAAAAACTTCAAAACTCCTGTCAATGTATCAGGGGTGTCTGTTGTTTGGTTGCGTTGTCGGGGTCCTCTTGGGGCCGCGTTCGGCCGCGTTCGAAGCCCTTGAGACAATATGAAAGCCACCTCTGGCCGTTGTTGGTATGTTTGGGCCGTCTGAATCATTTTGAACACGTCTCGGGCGTTCGCGGGCCAATGATAGGCTGCCTGGGGCCGTGTCGGGGACTCTAGAGATGGGCGGAGGCTGTCCTTGGGGCCTCTGGAATGGGAGTGATGGCGTGATGCCCCACTCCGGCTCACGCGAGGGTTCCGCTATTTCACTCGTGAAACCCATCGAACGCAGGAGTGCAGAAGAATCGAGAGAAGCACGAAGCAAATTTCGCAATATTTGGTGTCTCGTACTACGGATGCTGGAGGTTTCGAACATCAGCGCTGTCAGTCCTGGCACCAAGATTTAAAACTTGTAAGCATGATGGGTTCCCCGATCACGCCTTCAACATCGAATCGCAGTTAGCACGCCTTTTCCCAACGAAATATTAGCAACCGCCGCCGCTGACACAGTTCAAGCCTTCCACACATTGACGCATTCCGCTCCGACGAAAAATGAGAGTCGCGCTTGAAATTATAAGACGGGTGACCCCGGCCCCACCCCACAACAGTGGAACTTATCCAGTCGTTTTCAGATGTGGTTTCCCCCGTGGCATTGCGCGCGTTCATTATAAAGACTCCTGACTCCTAACAGCCACAACTCTGGAGGGCACCTACTATTCAACGTGAGGCATCGCGTATATTAGCGCCACCCACGCCAACGCCGCAAAAGTTTCGGACCACCAAACTGATGGAGGGCGGCTTCTTCCCAAAGTGAAACACTGGCCTGGGCCATCCGAATACCAGTCCGATTTGCAAAACAGTGCACCAGTTATAATGATACAGGGCAGCCAACCAAATTTCAAACAGGGGTTCTGGGAGCAGTTTTGGAACATCGAACGCTGCAACCCGGCGATAAAAATGCGGCACGGACGCAGGGGTGGAGGGGGGTTTCTTTCTAAACGCGGCTCCCGCCGCTGAGGTCCTCAACGCGCGCGGCCCGACGCGCAACGCGCTGCGACAGTTACACGGATGGGTGGCGACCCCTTTCCCGACGCGGGGCTCACGCGGGACACATCCTTCGGCGCCTGGCCCCATCGCACGCGCCGGGACGGCCCCCCCTTGCAACACGGGGCCATCGCTTGATTGGCAAGTCCGCAGGGCGCTCCCCTCAATGGGGCGCCTTCCCTTGTAGGAAAGCCAGATGCCAGATTCCATTGCGCGTCTCAATTTATTAGCTTCATGTTTGTTCTCTCTCTCTTTCTCTCTCTCTCTCTCTCTCTCTCTCTTTCTCTCTTTCCGATCCCCCAGCCCTGATGCGCCGTCGCACGTCCCTCCCCCGCCACCGATCCCATCCAAATCGAGCGGCGGAATCTGACCATGGCTGATCGACGCGGTGAGCAATGTCCGTTAGGCGAACGGTGACAAACAGAAGCGCGCGGGCGCGCGCGAACCTCTTGCGCGCGAGCGCGAGCCCTCCCTTGCACGACATCACGCCGCGGCGACCAAACCCCAGCAGAGCAGGCAGGCGGCGGCCGCTGAGGGCGGCAGGGAGAAAGAGAGAGAGAGAGACATATATATATATATATATATATATATAGAGAGAGAGAGAGAGAGAGAGAGAGAGAGCCCGGAGGGCAAAAGAGTGCGCCCAGCATGACGCCGGGCCGCCCCTCGTTTGTTCTCTCAGGTGTTTGCCAACGTTTACGCTGACGTCCAACGCGTCGCAGGGCATGCACGCGGCGCCATGGGTGCCACTCCACTAGCCCCGTCCCCCAACGCCCGTCAGAGGCCAATTGCATCTCATCGCGAAGACGCTTCTTGGCATCTTGAAAAAAAACAACAACCCACTCACGCACGCCGCATTCATGAGCGAGGTCCAACGCTGCAGGAATAGAACGTTTAGTAAAATCGACCCAATGTTCGTCAGCCAACCGCCGTGCACCAACAATCATAATGAGCATCCGTCGTTGCGCACGTTGCTGTTGTCGTTGCTGCTCAGATGTGAGCGCCCACGCAACAGAGCCATACATCACACACGGTGCAACAGATGCTTACAATTACCGCAAGCGGTGCTGCAACTTGACACGCTGGCCGCATAGCGTGGACTTATGTTTCGCAAACGCCGCCCAACCACACCCAATCCTGCACTGCAGCTACGTCCCAGGATAAGAACCAATAAGAAACTTACGCCCTAAGTATTTATCGGACCGAACTTGTTCAAGCACTCGCACATTATGCCCCCCACACCGCAGAGTGGCTGGCCTGTCGTCGACGCTCGTCAGAAGTACTGTCTTGCCAATATGCACTCTGAGGCCATATCTGCGTGCCTGCGTTTCCAGATCAACAAAACGTGTTGGACGAGTCTCTAGCAGAGGATGCCAACAGGATGCCAGCGGTGCCTGCCGTGACGCAAGCCGACTGTTTGGTATATAGGAGTTTGAGCAAGTTGATACATTCATGTCCCACGCTCTGGTCTGCCAACGTTTCCCACAGACTGTCGTGGTCGACTGTGTCGAAGGCCTTCTCGAAATCAACCAGGCAGATCCAAAGCAGCGCGTTAAACTCGTTGCATGCCTCCACTAGTAACGTCGTTGTCCACAAATGGCGTATGGTTCCAAATCCTTTTCGATATGCAGCCTAGTCTGTCGATTGCTCTCTCGTGATGGTGGGTCCCAGCCTCTCGCACAGCATCCTTCTGAAGTTATCTAAGATTGCACAGGGGAAGAGTCCCCCTTCTTGTAGAGCACTTTGATGCGAGCCCGGAGCCAGCCAGTCGGTGAGTCTGCGGATGGGTTCGGGATCTCGTTGAACGTATCCAACAGCAAATCTCGCAAGATCGCAGGGGGAACGGGCAGTGGTGACTCCCCCGGCGGCAGGCTATGAGGCATACCTCGCGCACGCGGGCCGGCCTTCGGCACACCCCAAGCAGGCTCTCAAAATCTCGAACCAATCGCTTCACGGCACACCATTTCGATAGTGCCTACTCCCGCTGCAAAGGTGCAGCAGCATCGCTCGACGCAGAATAAAGTTCTACATTCGCGGCCGCCGGGCCTACGTTTCACTCCGCCGTAGGCGTCACTCCCGCACTCAAGCCGATTCCGACTCCATCAGCACCAGTTCCTCTGCAAGCCATGCGAGGCTGGAGCACCCCATATCAACGTCTGGGAGGAGTGCAAGAGGGGGAGTGGAAAGGGGGAAGGCGGAGGGAGCAAGCCAGGTGCGTTCGCGCCATATGTGACGTCCAATTCCTCCGTCCCATCTCTGCCCACTGCGTTGACCCCCTCTCTGTTCGCAGAGTCGTGCGTCGGCGAAGACTTTGATCCCGAAAGGGCATTCTAATCCAAGAAGATATTCACCCAAGAAGTCAGACTGATGCAAGAATCTAGCCATCTCGCAACGAGAGCACCACGCTTCAAAGGCAGAACGTATTCTGCTTGTAAACTACATCGAGATACAACTCTGACCCATCCTGCGCGTTAGAACACAATTTGCTATACAATTCTTGAAACCAACACCACGTAACGGGAGGAAAGAGAGGAGGGTAATGCTCATATCATGCAAGTGTGAACGAGGGGGGGAAAGGGGAAGAGAGAGGGGAAAGGGCAGAGGAAAAGGGAAGAAGGGAGAGAGAGAGGCAGGTAGGGAGGAGAGGACGAGAAGAGGAGACCAGGGTCGGGGGAGCAGACTGAAAGGAGAGCGGCGAAAAAGGGGGGGCGGACGGGAAGCAATGAAGGATGGGGAATACGGCAAAAGGAGAAGGGGGAGAGATGGGGCAGACCTCATCCACCTCTCCCGGTTTCCCAATTCTCCCCTCATGTTCCTGCTCCTCCCCTTCCCCCTCCCCTTCTGTCAACGTCAGCTCAACCTACCTCACGCGGAGCCTGGAGCCTCAGGCTCTGGACGATCATAGCCCATCCTCTGCACTACCCTTCCCCTCGTCCTGATGTGGGGGAAGGCAGGAAGAGAGATGGAGAGTATGGCGGGGCTCCTCGATACCGAAGATCGCGAAGGCCAGAAACGCGGTGATGGGCACGATGGCCCAGTGGGGGTTAATGGCGCCGTAGAGCGCAAGGGGCATGAAGAGCAGCCACACGCTTGGGCGCAGCACGTGGTGCGAAAGACGATGACGATGGCGACGAAGACGAGGACGAACGACGACGACGACGACGACGACGGCGACGAAGAAGACAACGACAACGAGGACGAGTACGAAACCACGACGACAACGATGACGAAAACGACGACGACGACGACGAAGCCGAAAACGAAGACGACGACGGGGGCGGAGACGACCAACTCGACGACGACGATGACGACGACGACGACGGCGACGACGACGACGGCGACGACGACGGAGGCAGCGGCGGCGACGGCGACGGCGACAACATAACGCGCGGACGCAACCGCCCTGCGCTTCCCGACAGTGCCGCTACTTAGCGCATCCCGGACCGAATTGAAACCCCGCGCATCTGCGATACATCGGCTGCTGACGCGGCGGATAAGATAGACCTGTCCTGGACGCCATGGAGAGAAGTCAGGTTGCACTCGCCACTGACTCACGTGACAAACAGCCGCGTCGCTCGACCATTGCCTTGCAGACGGACTCCACTTCAAGGTGCGAGAACCTGCAAAAACGGATCATGAAGAAGAAGAATAAACGGCAACAACAAAAAACAAACAAACACAACAACAACCACAACAACAACAACAACAACAACAACAACCACAACAACAATCATGTTAAGACTGTTCGCTCCTATCTGCTCACGTGCCAATCAATACGTATATCCCAAACCCTCGGTACCCGCCCTCGTCGTCTTCGATCGTACCCCCTTCGGGGTATATCTTCCTTACCTGCCACGTGAATTGAATGCAACCCCTTAAACAAGGGAAGAGAGGACGGGTGAAAGTGGGAGTGAGAAGAATGGAGCACGAGACAAGGAGCAGAAAACAAGTGGTAGAACCAAACAGGCAGATCGGGTGGGCAGACCCATAGCGGGCAGGTCGGGAAGGCGGGCCCAAGCGACGAGGTCGAGCAGGCGGGTTGCTGAAGCGTGGGTCCTGCATGAATCGCGAGGAAGGCTCGAGTGATAGCGCGATTCCCAAGTAAATCGTTAGAAAAGCCAGAGTGGGCCACGAAAGGCATAAAATCCGAGGCCACAGAGGGCAGCGACGGGGCCGCTGAGGGCAGCAATGGGGCCACGAAGGGCAGCAAGGGGGCCACAAAGGGCGACAGCGGGGCCACGAAGGACATGCCTATGTGGCCACGACGGGAGCGAGCGGGGGTCACGAAGGGCATTCGTATACGGGGCCACAGAAGGCCGACAGCGGGGCCACTGAGGGCAGCAAAGGGGCCACGAAGGGCAGCGAGGGGGCCACGAAGGGCGACAGCGGGACTACGAAGGGCATGCGTACGGGGCCACGACGGGCGCGTGCGAGCGGGGGCCACGAAGGGCATATAATGCGGAGCCAGAAAGGGCAGCGACGGGGCCACTGAGGGCAGCAACGGGGCCACGAAGGGCAGCGAGCGAAGGCGACCGCAGAACCAGTAAGGACAGCGAGGGGCATCGAAGGCCGGCGAAAGGCAGCGAGCGGCGACTGCAGTCATTAACGGGTTGGTCGGGCGGGCAGGCCCCGACGGGCGGGTCGAGCGGGCGGGTCGTTGAAGCGTGAGTCCTGCTTGAACCACGAGGCCGTATGTAGCGGGGGCGCGATTCCTGAGTGTCGAGGACCGGCATAAGAAATATCAAGCGAAGCGCTTCGGTGGTAAGTTGCGAAGAAATCCTAAGCAAGAACGCGATTCGATCATACGATTCTATGATACATTGTCAGGAAGTTTCAGGCGGGAGCCGCGGTTCGGTGCTAAATTGCCAGGAAGTCCAAAGCGAGATCGCGGTTCTTCGTGAGGAAGTCTCAGGCGGGAGCCGTTGTTGTTGTAGTATGGGGGAGCAACAACGCAGTTTGACCCGGACTAAAGTGTGAGGAAGTCTCAAGCGGGAGCGCCGTTCCTGAGTAAATTGGGAGGAATCTCAGACGTGAGGGGGGGTCCTGAGTAAATTTGGAGGAAGTCTCAGGCGGGAGCCGTTGTTGTTGTAGTCCGGGGGCCAGGGGCCCAGTTTGACCACCAAGACTTTCCCTGTCAAAAAACAGAGTGCGAGCGTCGAGGGGCACACTTTGACTGAGAAAAAAGCATGCACCGATGCAGAAATGAGTTCAACAACAACAACAACAACAACAACAACAACAACAACAACAACAACAACAACAACAACAGCAACAGCAACAGCAACAGCAACAGCAACAATAACAACAACATACAACAACTACAACAACAACAGCAACAACAACAACAACAACAACAACGACAACGACGACGACGACGACGACAACAACAACATCATCATCATCGTCAGCACCATCATCATCATCATCAACAACAACAACAACGACATCAACAACAATAGTAGCAGCAGCAGCAGTAGCAGAAGCAGCAGCAACAGCAGCAGCAACAACAACCTCAACAACAACAACAACAACAACCACAACAACAACAACAACAACAACAACAACAATCGTGTTACCCTCATGCGCGATGTCTCCAAACGAAGCATGCGACCATCATGATAACCATCCCCATCATGGGGGACTATTATTTTATAGCGGGGTCCGTTATTCCCATTCCCAGATCTCCCGCCCAATGAGGTCTTGCAAGCACATCCTCCGAGGAATTTCAACATATCCCGCCTCGAAAACGCATGCCCGCGCCTTGCTGCGACGATGCGAGATCGCCAATGGAGCCCCAGTCAAGGGTAAAGCACAAGGAAGTATCGAGCGAAAGGATTGCCTTGGTGGGGATGGAGGCTGTCCGCGGCGAGGCAAGGACCTGGCCCTGAATAGAAAGGGAGAAAGTCTCGAGCAGGGCCGCTGTTGTTGCTGGGAGCGGCGCCAATGCTGAAGAGAGTAGGGCGCTAGTCCAGCGTAAAACAAAACGAAGTCTCGAGCGGGAACGCTGGTTTCATTGGGACAGCGGCTGTCGGCGGCGAGGAGGAGCACCGCCTTGAGTAAAAAAAGGAGGAAGTCTCGAGCGGGAGCCACGGTTTTGTCGGGACGAGGGCTGTCGGCGGCGAGGAACAGCAGCACCGTCCTGAGGAAAAAGGGAGGAAGTCTCCAGCGGGAGCGTTGTTGTTGCTGAGAGCGGCGCCAATTCAAAAGAGAGTAGGACGCCAGTCCATGGTAAAACGGGAGGAAGTCTCGGGCGGGAGCGCTGGTTTGTCGGGACGGCCGTGTTCGGCGGCGAGAAGGAGCACCGCCTTGAGTAAAAAAACAAGGAAGTCTCGAGCGGTAGCGTTGTTGTTGCTGGGGGCGGCGCCGATGAGGGAAAGAGTAGCGCGCCAGTCCAAGGTAAAACGGGAGGAAGTCTCGAGCGGTAGCGCTGGTTTTGTTGGGACGGCGGCTTCGGCGGCGAGCAAGAGCAACGGCCCTAAGTAAAAAAGGAGAAGTCTCGAGCGGGAGCGTTGTTGTTGTTGGGGGGCCCGTTGTGGCGCCCCCCCAAACCGCTCGAGCGTGAGCCATATTTTCAATGAAAATGTAGCCGGCACCGAGGCGAGAGCGCCAAAGCGCCTGGGGGGTCCAACAGTAATAATTGTTTAGTGGTTAACATTCAACAACAACAACAACAACAACAACAACAACAACAACAACAACAACAACAACAACAACAACAGCAACAGCAACAGCAACAACAACAACAACAACAACAACAACAACAACAACAACAACAACAATCATTTTACCCGAACGCTCAGTGTTCTCACCAGTGCCAGGGTTTTCATGCGACGCGAGACAATACCCCCACTTCGTGGGGGGGCAGTTCAAGCTCTACCAAATATCCAAACGACTCTTCGCGACCACCCAAACCCAGCTTCCCGCCCTATGACGTTGGGACACTTCACTTCGTGGCGTGCGGACGACCGTGGCTACTACACTGGCGTGGGGTACACACCCACAGAACTTGGTCACTTATTAACAACAACAACAACAACAACAACAACAACAACAACAACAACAACAACAACAACAACAGAAACAGCAACAGCAACAGCAACAGCAACAGCAACAACAACAACAACAACAACAACAACAACAACAGCAGCAACAACAGCAACAGCAACAGCAACAGCAACAGCAACAATAACAACAACAACAACAACAACAACAACAACAACAACGACAACCACAACCACAACCACAACCACAACCACAACCACAACAACAACAACAACAACAACAACAACAACAACAACAACAACAACAACAGCAGCAGCAGCAAACACAACAACAAAACATAAACTGTTGGTGCTCCGAGCGCATTTCTTGGATCTGCGCTGGACCCCCCCTTCGTGGCGCGCGGAGCGCGCCAGGGGCGGCGCCGGAGGCGCCGCTGGGGGGCCCATGCGCCGATCCAAGAAATCCGCACGGAGCACCAAAAGTGTATGTTCATGCCGTTTTCTTGTTCGACTTATGACAACGAAAAACCTTGAAAAGGGCCAACAAGCTCGCAATCTCTCCGACGCCTTGAGAATGCGTCTAAGCCTGTGGGAGGAATCGAGAACTCCACGGGGCCCACAACCGTGTCGCTCGACCATTGCCTTCCAGACGGACGCAACTTCCAGACGCGAGGAAAAAAATACATTGGAAAGGGCTACCCCAGCAGCCCTCGAAAGAGGTGACAGCTTCACACTTCGCAACTCCCAAGGGATGCGAGAGGAGAGAGCCGAGAGGAGAGCGGGGGGGAGGATGGAGCAGGAGAAGGAGGAGAAGGGCGTCGGCGACCCCACGGCTCTATGTAAAACGAGAACCCAACCAAGGGAGGGTTGGGATGCGAAAACAAATCCTTGGAAAGGACCAACAAGCTCGCCGTCTCTCCGACGCCTCGAGGATGCGTCTGAGCCCTGGCGGAGAGGAGTCGAGAACTCCAGGGGCCAGCCGCTCGGATATAAAAAAATCGAGCAGTCGGAGACGTGGGCTGTCGGGGCCCATGTCGTGAAAAAATGGCGTCGTCGGAGGTCCCGTTTGTGTCGACGCGTTGAGGGGGAACGGGCCGGCCGCTCAGATAGAATCGAGTCGTCGGAGGTGTGGGTCTGGGACCCCCGTCGTGAGAAAAATGGCGTCGTCGGAGGTCTGGTTTGTGTCGAGGGGCTGCGGGGAAACGACAGGGGGGGCCAGCTGAGGGGGGGAACACCGACCTGAGCTCGGCGGTACGTCGCCGACAGATCGGCGGCAGGCCCCAGATAGAACAACGGCACGTTCCTGGGCGAGGTGGGTTACCAGGCCCTGATAGGCGATCAATGGGCAACTAGGCTTGGACTAAAACCACGGGAGCGCGCTCCACGCGTGGTTGGCTTCCAGCGGCTAGCGCGGACCAGGGCAGAGCCTCAGCAACCGAATGACAAATAGCAGATCCAAGAGTAGCCACCACGTGGAGAGACCTGTACAAACTTGAAGATCAGAGTAGCATGAGGTACGCTTGCATGTGCTGCGTCAGATGACCTCGGGACTGCCCCCAAGACGGCCCCAAGAGGGCCCTGGGGGAAAAAGCGAAGGCACCTCGGGGACAAAGGAACCGCACAGACCACCAAGAAGCCCCCGAGAGGCCCCAGGGGCCCCCAAAGAAGGTCCAGGTCCAAGAGGCTCCCCCACAAGCCCCCAAGACGCTGTGGGGCCCCAAGAAGGCCCCGAAAAGGCCTCCAGGGGCCTCCCAAAAGGGAGAAACACCCCACGAGGCCCCCGAGAGGGCCTCTGACCCACAACCTGGGCATAAAAGGTCGAAGCCTCGCTGGGATCGATATGGCCAAAATGGAACCGCTTGTGTACCACTTGAATCGCATCCTGCACGAACCGGCTCAACACCTGCCGTGGCCGAGTCCACCTGACGCCGCCAGCCGCTGGAAGGGCCGCCTGTTGCTGCCGCCGTCTGCGCCGATCCAGAGGGTGACATTGATAGCCGTGCTGCCTTTCGTGTCTGGAGCTTGAACCTGGACGAGCTGACGACCTTTGGGACATCAGCGAGCTCAACCCCATTGGAACCGAGGGAGTCCTGAAACGCTTTCTCGAGATCCGTCTACGGCTCCTCATCCGCACCGTCGGCGTATATGGCCATGTCCTCTGCGTCCTCTTTTCGGGGCGCCTGGGACAGCGCCTGGAGCACAGAACTCCATGCCTCCCGTTCCTCCAGTCGCCACGTTCGTCGCCGCCGCTTAGATTCCCACTGTGGTGCCTTCCGTGGATGGGACAACCTCCTGGTACATGTGCGCGTGCATGTGTTCGGCCTCGCCGTCGATAGTCCTCAGCACCTTCGTCCGGGCCTCGACTGTGATGCCAAGTTGGTCAGGTGCTGGCGGTGGCTATCCTCGTCAAGCAGCCTAAACTGTCGTCGCGGACTCTTCTTTGGATCTCTTGATGGCCTCCTCCTCCTCCTCCTCCTCCTCCTCCTCCTCCTCCTCCTCCTCCTCTTGGACGTGCTGCTGGATTGCAATGCCCTCCTCATCAAGCTGTTCCAATTCCTGAATTCCTGAATGATTGATCTTGTGGATCATCCAGCTTTTGAACGAGAACCTCACGCTTCTCGATGTCCAACTCGACCTTCTGCATGCGGAGAAGAAGTGCCACACAGCTGTCTAAATGTCTCGAGGCTCTGGCAGGACATCTTAGTGGACTCGTTTCGCACTCGGTGGAACTGCGTCTTCAACCTTGCCTCCAGCACCTTGGACAAGTTCAAGATGTGCTTTGAGACCAGCTCCTGGGGCCTTGTCGCGTTCTCGGTCTCCTTCGGCCCTTATGCCGCCGTATTCATGGGGATCCCATTTACCACTGGATCCTGCACTTTCTGCTTTGATTTTCGGGAACCATGCATGACAGTGGTAGCACCACTTGAAATGACCTGGACTATTGCTGCAGCCGCACGTTAGACACTATCGAACGGAATGGTTGCTGTTGCTCCGCCAGGAGCTCACTTGAAAGCTGACCCAGCAGGAGAGCTGCCTATCCCTGAGCATCGACCTTCTGGAGTCAGGACGGCAAGTAAATCCGTATTGATCCAAAGTGGCTATGGTGGTCCTTGGCTTCCTCCCCCTCCTCCTCTGCCTCCTCAGCGGCTGTGCCCATGTCGAGCCTGAGGAACCTGGAGGTCAGCCGGGTGTACGACAGCGGCATCGGCATCTTGAAGATCCTCTCGCACATGCCTCTGGCCAGGGGGGAGACTGGCACTGGACCACCGTCATGGAAATGAGGTCCCCTCCACGGTTTTCCGTTGTTTTCTCTGATGTGCTTGCCACTAGTCCTTCGTATATACTCCTGCCGTTAGGGGCCCCGGGGGCGTCCGTTAACCTCTTTTCCGAATATCCCAGTCGATGTTTTTGTTCTCCAAACGGCCGTTTTGTCGACAACGTCGCAAAAATGCGTGGCAAAAACGGGACGGGGTGCGCATCCCACGGGAGAACGCGAAATGTCGTTCTCGCCCCAGCGCCGCGCTCACTGTTCCAAATAAAAATGCCCATTTGGGCGCGGCGCACATTTTTCCAACGCCAACTAATCAACGCGCCCGCGGGCGAAAACGTCGCTCTCGTCTCGGCGCCGCGCAAATTTCGCCTGGAAGCGGCATTCCGAGACTCCCCCCTCAGCGCGGCGCATATTTTTCACTTGCCAAATTCTGGGGGCCCGCAATACCGGGCGACCTGTCGCCCTCGCCAAAGGTCCGTGCACATTTCACGTGAAAGTGGCGCTCCCACGAGAGCGCGGAGCATGTCTCGTTCGCCGACATCGCGTGAAGGCCGCCGCGGCAGCGGGGCCAATGTGACAGCGGGCGAAATGCTGTCCCCGCCCAAGCGCCACGCAGCTGGCGCGTGAACAGAGAGCAGAAAATCCACGGTCGCGTCCCATGGCGTTATCGCGTCCCTCGGTGTTTCCGCGTCACAGACCTCAACCTTGAACGCCTGCGCCGGCGTTGCCGGGGCGCCAACGCCGCACGAAACTACCGTACGAGAACGGCGCTGATGCACTGTATTATGTTTAAACTCCCGTCAGGCCTCGCCCCAACGCGGTAATTACGGTGCATGGTTTTTGTTGACCCGAAGGGCCGATCAACTATGCGCTGTACCATGGAACGGAACGGAACGGAACGGAAGCCGGCGCAAGGCTCCGTGAGGGAGCTGCCGGGAGGGCCGAGGCCCGCTCACATCTTGATGTAATCGTGCCTCAGTTACCCACGGGAGACATCAACGCGTTACGGTGCATACAGATCGTCCGCGGAGGGGGAAGCGACGGGGGCGACGGGGCACCGAGAAGCGAGACCAGCCCCACAGGCCCGCCGCCGAGTAGCCCCGCGCAGGCACCCTGACCCCAAGGGGGGACCAGGCACACCTGACCAGGAGCCGCGGAGATTGCGGCGGCGAGGGCACGGCCAGCAGACGGCTCGCTGGCGCGCGACCCAACCCGAGCACCTGGGGAAGCACCCCGCAGGGCCAGGACGGGAGCGCGCCAGGAGGAGATGTGGCGCGCGGCGCCACGAGCTGAATTGGAGCTGGCGGGCTGTAAGTAGCCCGCGGCGGCAGCTGAGAGCCGGCGCGAGTGGAGGCCCCCCTGTGGCAGGGGCCCCCACGAGAGAGGGCAGAGAGTGTGCAGCGCGAAAGAGCTGGGCGTGGCACAGAGGCAGCCGGCGCCAGCCCCGGCACTTGCGCCGTGCAGGCGGGGCGCAAGCGAGCGCCGCACCCGGGAAAGGAGGGGGCCCAGCCATCCTGGGTGAAAGGAGCTGGCCGGGCACCGTCCTCCAGGCCAGGTCAGGCGAGCGACTGCCGCCGGCGAGAGCCAGCCACGCCAGCAGGAAGCACGTGCGCCCGCGGGGAACGAGAGCCAGGAGCGCGACGGGCGTGCCGTCAGGTCACCCCTCGGTGCGCGGTGCGGCATGTTCGAGCCGTGCCGACCTCGGCGTTGGTTTCTGACACCGGACGATCGGCCCTTTCCAAAACGTCAGATCGTTCAGCATCGACCGATTCTGGGTCGCCAGCGGCGTTCAACGTTGAACGCCGGCGGCGGGGTTGCCGCCAGTCGACACGACGCGAATCTACCGTACACTTTCTGGGGCCAGCCGCAAGGGCGGACGCCAACGCGTTCGGTCGCCAGGAGGGCCGCGCCGGGAAGAGGCACACTGGACAGGAGGAGAAGAAGATGGTGGCCACGGATGGGGAACCAGGGGGGAGGCCTCGGGCGTAGAAAATCCTCGCCACGAGAATTGCGCAGGCAACCTCAGGCACCGAAAACCGGTGTACCGGGAGGTGAGCGGCGCCAGTGCGAGCCGCCAAAGGAGAGGGCAGCACGGGTCCCACTGGAGAGGCAAGTCATCCATGCGCCAGACACACGCACACGCTTAGTCGCTCGGGTGAGGCATCATGTTGAAGATTTGCACACACACACACACACACACACACACGCACGCACGCACGCACGCACACAGACCCACACACACACACACACACACACGCGCGCACACGCACACACAGACCCACACACACACACACACACACACACACACACACGCGGACACAGGCACACACCACTGCTGAATTGCTTCTGAATGAGCGCTTCTACATGCTTTCACATCTCCGCACTTTCAGGATTGAGCTATAGGGCGTGCAGGGCGGAAAAGGACAGGAGGAGCAACGAGGCAAGATGCACCCCTACAGGTTCCCCCTTTGTTGCACCCACTGTGGTCAAGTGCCCCTCCCGCGCAGAAGAATGTGGCTCCAGGGGCACCCCTTGCGCAAATGAGCCTCGCTCATCAGCCCTCCTCCCGCCCCGAGAGCCGTAGTAGTCCGAAAACTTCGTGACGTCCGAATCGATCTTCATCTCGTCGATCACGTCCAGCTTCGCTTTGCGGATGGACTGCGGCGCGCCCGGCCCTCCGGCGTCTCGAAAAGATCGGGAAGGGGGTCTCTGCCGATCCTCGTCATCAGCGGAAGCCGTTTTCAGGCCCTCGGGCCGCCAAGACAGAACGCCTCGAGCTGAGAAGCGGGCCTGGTGGACTGGTCGGGACTTCACATGGGACCGCGGGGACGTCCAAGAGGGGGGCGTCCAAGAGGGGGGGGTCGCAAATCATGGCCCGAGGGACGGGCGCGGCCTAGGGGGTCACAGGGACGTGCTGGAATAAGGGGAGGAAGCTATGAAACCCGGGGAGGTATCGTACCACCGGCCATGATATCCTCTCACCCCTTAGTCATCGCCCCCCTCTTGACCACCTCTGGAAGCCTCCTGAAAGCAGTGGGCGAAGAATCAAACAGGCCAGGGTTCACCAAGTACTTTTTGAACAGAAACAACCCAAATGTTTGAAAATAAATTGAAAATGCAAAAACAACCCAAATGTTTGAAAATCAATTGAAAATGTGTCCCCCCGCAGGCAACTGACAATAATCCCACCAGCGCTCTGGGCGTAGGTGGTTTAACGAACTTTGTCTTCTCTCTGCCAAAAACCCTCCTTCCCCTGCTCAGGGTGGGGGGACCCCTCCTCCTACCCCCTCCCCTGGGCCTGGGAGGGGGGGGGCGCCAGTAGTTAGATAGAGCGCCCAAGGTGGCCCAAGATGGCTCCAAAAGGGCCTCTGAGAGCCCACGATGGCCTCCAAGATTGCTCACGATACCTTAAAATGGCTCAAGACACAGCCTCTGACAAACATCCAAGAGGCCTCAAGACGGCCCCAAGACGGTTTCCAGTGCCCTCCGAGCCCTCCAAGGAGCCCCCCAAGAGGCCAAAATGAGCTCCCTATGGGGCCGCGAGACGCTGTACTGGGCGGGGAAGACGCATGCGACCGCAACCACTGGCGCCTTCGGTGGATCCCCCATGGGTGGGACCACGAAACGCTGTACTGGGTGGGGTGGAAGAGCGCATGCGGCCGCGGCCACTGAGGCCTTCGGTGGAGCCCCCGATGGGGCCACGAAACGCTGTGTTGGGTGGGGGACGCATGCGGCCGCAGCCGCTGGGGCCGTCGGCGGAGGTCCCGATGGGCAACGAAACGCTGTGTTGGGTAGGGGGACGCACGCGCCCGCCTTCCACTGGGGCTTTCGGTGGAGCTCCCTATGGGGCCACGAAACGCTGTACTGGGCGGGGGAGACGCGTGCAGCCACGGCCACTGGTGCGTTCGAGCTTGTTCTTTACATTTGAGTTCTGGGGAGGGGGCGGGCACAAAATTGGATCACGACGGTGACGACGGCCAGAAAGCCGCGTGGCACGCAGAAAGCCGCGTGGCACGCGCCAGCGACGCCGCGACGCCCCCGCCCCCTCCTGCGCCTTCCGTAAGTCCTGGCGCGTTTGGCAGGAGATGGGCCCCAGGGCACTGCCGACAGGCCCCGGCGGGGACCAGCCCTGAGCACAGGCAAGGCCGCGACACGGCGAGCAGGGAACAAAGATTGCACTGCCGCTCCACACTGCTTCTGATTACGGAGGGGGCCCTCGGGCCCAGACGGACAGTCTTCTTATCATGACAATTAAAGGTGCCCCCCCTCCCCCGACCCAGGGCGGAGCGGCGAGGATGGGCCGTGGACCGCCTTTACTTTGTAGTATAAGGAGGGCATCATTGCATCTGTACGGTCACACGAAGGCTACAGTGCACTCACGCAGCGGCTCTCCCCCCAGGCAGTTAGCATGTGCACAGGAGTAGCCACAACACGCCCAAAGCGTGCCGACAATTACGCATGCAATTCTGCAGCTCGCATTGCCACTAACATCGTGAAACACGGCCCGAACAAGGAGGAAGGAGAACGAGGAGGGGGAGGACGAAGAAGGGGGAGGGGAAGGAAGAAACGGCCTGCTCTCACCGAGCGGCCTGGACGTGCACGCGGCTTGACCGCCAAGGCGCACGGATGACCGTGCGGAAGGCGCCCGCAATATCACTCGAATTGCCACTAAAATCGTAAAACGCGCCCGGAACGAGGAGGAGGAAGAGGAAGGAGAGGATAATCGGCGGCGCGCCAGACCCAGACCTCCAAGCGGCGCGGCATGCATCGCGACGGGCGGCTCCTCGCTGCGTCCGTTTCGTGAAACACGGCTGGAACGAAGAGCAGTAAAGACGAGAACGACGACAAAGACGACGAGCAGGAGGGGGGAGGCCGAGCGATGGCAGCGTTTGCACCCCTGGGCCCCGAGCTGAGCTCACGGTCTCACGTTGTGCGGTACCCCTTGTTGCCCTGTCGGCCTCGCATCAAAATCCCACACAGCATGAGGTCACAAAAAAAGAGACGAGGAGGAGGAGGAGGAGGAAGAGGAAGGGGAAGAAGAAGAAGAAGAAGAAGAAGTGGAAGAGGAGGAGGAGAAGGAGGATGAGGAAGAGGGGAAAGAGGAAGAAGAGGAAGAAGAGGAGGAGAAGGAGGAAGGGGGGGAGGAGGAAGAAGAGGAGGAGGAGAAGTAGGAAGGGGAGGAGGAGGAGGAGGGGGAGGAGGAGGAAGAGGAGGAGGAGGAGGAGGACGAGGAGGACGAGGAGGAGGAGGAGGACAAGGAGGAGGAGGAAGACGGGGAAAAACAGGCGGCCACACCAGCGCCAGGCCCACTGAGCATCCAGACCCAAATAAGAAGAAGGGCGGCAAGCAGGCAGGCAAGCAAGCAAGGGGAGGAACGCGGCGGAACGGGGGGCACGGCGCGCGCACGGCGGGCGGGGGGGGGAAGGGGGCGTTCATTCGTCGACGCCCCCGCCCGGCCAGAACGCCCGGACGCGAACGGCCGCCCGCCGCCGCAGCGCCGCGCCGGCCGCCCTGGCCAGGCGGCGGCACCGCCACGCCCCGTCCGAGCAAACCCTTCGCCGGGATAGGCGGGTCGCGAGCGCGCGGAGGGAGGATGTAGTCTGGGGGCGGGGGCGGCCGCAGGCTGACCAGACGAACGGCTGGTACAAGATGTTCTGACGGTCCAGAACGTCGCTGCGCGGGGCGCAATAGGCCGCTTTGCGCTCGCACACGGCGGACACGCAGTTGGGGCCAGCATTGCACGCGTCGGGAGAGGCAATCCCGACGTCGAACGCGGCGTGCCCGTGCCCCAGCGCTCCTGTGAGCAAGTCCGCGGGCCTCAGCTAGGTGCCCGGGATGAGGTTCTGCGAATCGAGCTCGGCGGCGGGGTCGCAGCCCTTGGCAGCCTCGCACGCCCGCCGTGCATGCGCGCGGTGGCCCTTCGTAGCCTCGGCCCCGCTGCAGCTGAGGGCGCGCGAGCCCGCGGGGTCGAGCAGCTCGACGCCGCAGAGGTTGCAGGGGGCGGGCTCGCCAGGGCTGGCGGCGCTGACGCTTGGCCAGGGCGCCTCGACGGAGTCCCGGTAGTCAAGCCCCTTGTCGGCAGAGAGCCCAGAGCCACTCGCGGTCGGTGCCGGGGCGGCTAGGATTCTCCAAACGGCGCAGCGCCGCGTCGTTGCAGGCCTGCGCGCGGCGCTCGCGAAGCTACGGGCGCGCCCGCGCGTCGAGGCGGGCCAGGATGGCGCACTGGAGGCGGGCGCGGCCGCGGCGGGCAACAGCCAGGCGCTCGTCGTCCTCGCACTCGACGATCGTCGTCGAAGGGGGCGACGACGCTGCCCATGCGCTGGGGCCGGCCATTCCGTCTCGCAGGGAGCGCCGTCGTTTGCGGGCGCGCCGGCGACGCAGAGGCCGGCCCACCGTTCCCCGCACTGGTCCGCCTCGTTCGCGAGGAGATCCAAGAGCTGCATTTCGGGGCTCGGAGGGAGGGGCCCCATCAACGCGACCGCGGCTTCCTCTGCTCGCTGGTCGCAGGAACCCATGACCGCGGCCGCGGCGCCCAGGCCGGCCAGGGCTAGGCGCTCGGCCATCTCGCGGACGCGCGGGCGAAAGCTCAGGCGGCAAGCGAGGGAAGCGGCCGCAGACACGCGCTCCGCGGCGCGTAGACCGAGGCCGCCGCCCTAGAAGACTCCGGCGGCGGCTTGCCCCCACGCGTCGTCTAGCAGGTCGCCGCCAACGACGCCCCCTACTGGGGAGCGCAGCTCTGCAGTCGAAGGCGGCGAGCCGGTCGCGGCCTGTCCCCGCCGAGGCGCGGCCGTTAGGGAAACGTGGACACGTAGGCGCACAAGCGGATCAGGACGGACTCGGCGGGGGCGTGGCTGACGGCGAGCAGCGCGAGGCGGGCAACCCGAACATTCTCCGCGACCGCTTTGACCTCGTCGTCCAGCGCCTCTGCGCTGCCAGCGGGGGCGCTCAGGGCGGCGGGGCCTCCGCGGGTCGAAGACGTCGCAGGTGGCGCGCGCGCAGTCGGCGCCCCAGCCGTCGTGGAAGCGGCGCTGCTCTGGCGGGCAAATCAGGCGGCAAGAGCCGTCGGCCGCGCCCTCGGCGAAAGAGCCGCGGGCGCCTCCGAAGCGAGTAAGGCTGGCGTCCAGCGCCCTGAGCCACGGGTCAAGGTCCGCTGGCCGGACGAATGCCCGCCCGTCGCCCACGCGCCACTCCTCGCGCGCCCGCGAGCCAGCGGCGGCGGGAGCGCCTCCCGGGGCTGAGGCAGCAGCAGGGGCAGCGGCGGTCGCCGGAGCGGGCGGGCCCACGGCGGCGGCCGGGGGCGTCGCCGGGGGCGGCCGGGAGAGCGGGCCCGGGTCGGCGGCCGCGGGCGCACCAGCGGGCGCGGGCGCTGCGGCGGCGAGGGCGGGCGCGCGCGCGGCCGCATGCGAGGCCAGCCTGGACGGCGACAAACCCGTCGCCTTGCTCGGCCCCGCGGTCGGCATCGAGGAGTTCGCCAGAAGGCAGCTCGGTGGTGGAGGGCTCGCGGTGGCGCCAGTGCGTCCAAGCGGCGATCCCCGCAAAGGCGCGGGGCCAATCCCGTCGCGCGTGGAGCCCCACTCCACAGAGCCGGGCACGTGAACCAGATCGACATCGAGGGCGACCAGAGCGGGGACGGCCCCGGCGGCAGCCAGCCCCAGCGC